TTACATGGCATTATATCATTTTATTGAGTTTTGTGTTGAATTCCTTCTCTAGGTGTGCCTAGAAATTGCGAACATTTGGATTCTTTTGGAGCAAGATAAGTGAATTGTGAAACAAGTAAGAATATTGTAAAGCTCCAAGAGGTAAACTATGTGTTTAAGGAGTCTTTTCCTACTTGTGTGCTCCACCATGGTTAGAGGACTGTGGTTAGATTGTATGATTGTATTGATGCTTTGCATACATGCATTCATATAGACCTATATGATAATATGATATGTTTTGTTCTGATGTGATTTTTGTAATGATCTTTGACCATTGATTCTATGTGCACTGATGTCTTCTTGAGGTCCTCCCTCGGGACTGACTGTGTACGCCTCTGATATATTTTTGGTCCCGCTTGGGGTCCTTCCTTGGGAACACGTGCGCTGGTTTCTGTTTGGGGTCCTCCATTGGGAATGACTGTGTGCACCTCTGATAAGATATGTGTATATGTTTTGTTCAGTTATAATATTTGTTTATATGATGCCTTGTAACTCTGTATCTGGCTTTCATGCAGGAATGGGCCCAGGGTATGGAGAATTCTCTATAAACATGGAGCTTATTGAGATTTGTTATCTCACCCCGTTGGGGACATCATTTCAGGTTTACATATTTCCGGTGAGCCCTCACGGGGCAGGGACACGACCCGTGGCTAGAGGTGCTTTGATGGACTGAATTTTGGGTAGCTATAGGCTACTGACATTTTGGAGGATATTTATGTTGTTTTTGTATTTCATTATTTTGGGATCATGATGTCTGGTCCCTTAATTTGTATATGGCCTGTATATGTTTTGTACATGTCTTCATTATCGATGCATGTACATTTTGGGTATTCATGCATGCTTATATAATGATATAGTATTCAGATGTATGCATGTGTTGAATTATGCATGCTATTAGCTTTAGCGGCACAGAGCCAATTTTTGCATGAGCCCATAGATGGGTATTTGATTCGTGATGGATATATGAGATTCTGAAATTATGGATTATATGAATTGTTTATCAGGGAACCTTGAGCGTGGGATTTCTAAATCCCCATTTGTTCGGTTTACAGCCGTTATGCTGTCCGATTTTCATCTTCATCAAATGAAAAAAATAAATTAGAAAAAAGTTATGCATTGTTATATATCATGTGAATTGGATAAAAGAAAAAGTTAGATCGTATTTTTGTAAGTTAAGTCTTCCGCTGATCATGTTTAGTATCATATATGTGTTAACTGAACCGGCTCGAGACAGGGATGTTACAGTAGACGATGTTAAGCGTATTTATTATGTTTTTCGCTTTATGTATGAGTTGCAATTATGTATTTGAATTATGTTAGTACGGAACCCATGTTTCAAGAAAGTAAAAAGAAAAAATTATTTGTAATTTTAATTCAATCACTGCGACTGTAACTGCGCTTAATATCATATGCAATGCTAACAAATCGATTCTAGAACGAAGTGTTACAGTACCTATAGGGAAGATACCTTTGATGGTAAGCAGATCACTATGCTCTATAATGACAAAGTTGCCATAACGTAGTTTGTGTTCACAATGACAACTAATAAGAGAGTAAATGTGCGTACTTGTAAGCTTTATCTCTTATTTATTAAATTTATCTGTAATTAGTGAAAATTTGGACTTTTTGTGAATTTTGGGGGTCCAATGCTTGATCCACTGAGGATGTTATATGATCGATATCTTCTTAGAGATTCTTTCCTTATTTCTCTATTAGTTGTTTACCCTTATTGGGCCTTATAGAATAAGGGCCTTTAAGTTAGGCCCATAACAAATTGCTTGTTTGATGTTTGGAAAAAGTATTTGTACTTTTAAATGACATAACTTGTGTCATTTCACTCTCACAAAGATGTGACACCCACATCTTTATTTTTTTTTTGTCCACTCTCTCCTCCTTTATCTATCTTTTTCTTTCACTTAAAATGACATAACTTTACATCCTTTAAAATGATACACACTTTTTCCTTGATGTTTAATGTGTTAGATGGTGAATAATTGTTTGAATATATTAATGAACATTTCATATAATATAATTTACTTGAAATAATAATTTACTAATAAAAATAGAGCATTTGCTAAAATTTTGTAATACTGAATTCATCCCCTTTTTGAGTATAAAAGACACATCCATGACATTAATGACAAATTTAAAGATATAAATTGATGATTTTGTCTTTAAATTCACCGTAACCAGACATGGAATACATTTTGTCTCTAATTGTGTTTCTATAATTCTATTTACGATGAAAATATTTAAGTCTCTAAGCCTTAAATCCCAAATTAGTGATAAAAAAATTTTGGTCAACATTAGCAAAGGATTTAGAGACCAAAGTATATGGTTTCATCTTTAAACCCATCGTATTTAGAGACATGATATATTTTGTCTCTAATTGTGTCCCAATTTGTAACAAAAATGTTTTTATCTCTAAATTACAAGCGAAGTTTTTTTTATCCCAATTAGTGAAGGATTTAGAGATGGAATAAATGATTTTGTCTCTAAATTCATCACAATTACGGATGAAAATTATTTTATTTCTAGTTTCATCCTATTTTGACCCCAAAATAAAGGCAAAAAAAATTTCATCCTGCCCCATATATGTGTGTGCGCACACGCTATGTGATATACAAAATGTAAAAGTATCCTAAACCTATGTGTCTAGATTTTCTTTGAAACTATACATTCATGTCAAAATCATTAACACTAACACCATTTGTTTATTATGTGAATTGACACGATATAACATAAAAAGTCTAAATTAATAGATAAATAAATGTGTAATTATATATTTTATATACACTTATCCTTTTAGTTTTAGAATGAAAATGACATGAATAACCTCAAATTAGTAAATAAAAATGGAAATAAATATGTAATCGTTTGAGCTTAGAATTTCGGATTGAGTTGAGTTAGCGGATTCACACAAACACAAACATAAAAATAATATAACTTTTTTTATATTATTTTTTATCGGCACAAGTTCAACATAAATTCAAATAATTCTGTGTCTCATTTGAAGTTACCACTCTAGCTAAAGCAATCACACTACTCTCACCAAAGTGTATTGTTTTAATAAAACACCTAAGTTCTCCTTACCAAAAATAAAAAAAATAGAACACCTAAGTTTATTTCAAACTTAAGCCAATGTTATTTTTCAGTTTGACATATTCTTTTGTGTCATGCTCTATGGTTGCAATTGCAATATATATAGAAGCGATATACAAGGAAGCATATTAAGAACGAATTAAGTTATATAATTATGTTCTTTTGCCTTAGGCCTTCTGTTTACCAAAAAAAAAAGTTATATAATTATCACGTACTTATTTAACAACATGATTTATGCAAAGCATGATAACTCAACAAAAATCAACATAATTTATTAAACAAAAAAATATTTCTGCAGTTACTGCAGATAAGTTATCTGCATTTACTCCTAAAACGACGTCGTTTTGAGATTGAAATATTAAAAAATTATAATTATAAAGACTATAATAACCCTAAAATAAATTAAAATTACAAAAACACCATGATTTCTGCTCCAAAACAACGTCGTATTAGGTTTATTGCAGATAAGTTATCTGCAGTAATAGCAGAGAGAACGAACCCTTTATTAAAAAGGACAAAAATTGGAAAAACCACAATATTTGATACACACAATGCAACATGCATTCATATTTGATCTGTTACAAAACCACAATATATTTCTCTACAACTTAGCTAGAGACATTACAAATCTTTATACCATGAGTACGTATGTGTCACTTTAACCAGATTAGTCGGATTTCTAGTAGAGAAGTTAAAAAAATAAAAAAAAATAAAAGAAGAAGAAAGAAACAAAGAAAAGAAAGACTTTTAACTCTCTTTTTTAAATGCTAGTTTGATGTACTAATATTGGATCAGCCAATATATTTTATATGATTAGTTAAACTATTATGCCTTGGAATTCTGGTGAGAGTTATTAATTGATGGGTCATATGAAAGTGCATATTGTACATTACAAGAAAAAATCTTATTAGTGACAAAATTCTATGAAATTTCGTCACAAACTCCTGTGTCGCAAGTAAATTTCATCACAAATTCCTGCGTCGCAAGTTTATCTGTGACGAAATTTAATTAGTTGTGTCGAAAATTGTGACTTGTGACAAAATTTATGACGAAATTTTTCGTCACAAAAAAACTTTTTTCTTGTAGTTTGTTAGACCCAGGGAATATGTGCTAACATGAGGCAAACCCTCTAATTAAGCTTTTTTATACCTAAATAAAATAAAATCCTATTCCTTTTTTCTGATTGAATATTGCTCCTATTTAACTAATTTGACCGAAAACATAAGTGACTCAGTGGTAGCATGACTCGAGCGACTTTATGGTTCCCCTCTCCCCTCTTCATGATGTCTTCATGATGCATGAAGTTCACATGATTTACTGGTCCCATAAGTACTGTCTTTAGAATGCGTAAATAAGGCCAATAACAAGTGATTGGACAGGTGGTAGAGGGAAAAGAAAGGAGAAGATTGAACACAACATTGCTTATGTTTCAACTCTTAATTTGTATATCTAATATAAGCGAATAATATGAAGTCATCTGCAGCTAGTTTAATTCAATTGACAAATTTTTTGTTGGTCTAAATTATATTTATTTCTAAACTACTCTAAAATAAACATTAAAATTAACAAACTGCATTGTCCTCCATCTTATACCCAGCGTACACACACATTAAAATCTTGTCATTGCATGGAGATATTGGAGAACTTTAGTTACTTTAGTTACTTATCTAGCTTTTCTTTTCTTTTGTTCCCATCTCCCCTAAAGAAGTTTGAAAAATATATACAAATACAAGACCACATTCAAATTAAATACGATAATACAATAATATACTATATATATATATAGACGTTGCTTGACAATTAAGAATGTATCTTAGAACACAGATAATGGTATTGTGGAAAAGCAAAACAGATATGAATCAACTTGTCTCTGAGAGGCACTGAAGAATGTTCACCTGCATTTGCAAACAGCTTATATAGCTCTCTAATTCTTCGACCATTTGTTCATTACAAATTTCATCTCCACCGGGTATCAACTTTCTTAGGCTTCTCAACTTGTCATTGATGACCTCATCTTCATCATCTTGACCATTTAAATCCTTTTTCATCTCTGCCATGTCATTGTGTTTAGACTTGTTCACTGAAATCTTAGACTGAGACTCTGAACTAGGGCTTGAAGAGAAATCAAGTGGAACCATTTCATTTTCACCAAAGCTGGTGCTACTATCTACATTGACTCTTTCCCTTTGAAGCTTGATTTTTAGAGCATTACTCCATGCAAAACCTTGGGCTGAGAAGACCATAGCCTTGTCTACTTCATACTTGACAACATTCTGAAACTCACAATGGTTTTTTTGTTCTGGAAGACCCCTTTCCTTGATCTTCGTCAAAGCTGGAACTAAATAGTTCACGTAATTTCTAGTAAACTTTGCTTGTACTACTTTGTTTGGTTCAAGCGAGTAAACACGTCTTCGTTTAGCTGGTCCCTCCATAGAAAGAACTTTTGTTGTATAAAGAAAAAAAAGAATCAAACTAAGCAGTGTAATAGGGATGAGGAAGAGGAAGAAGAAGAAGAATTGTTTGTGAGAGTGGATGAAGTTGTAGGATAAAGGGCAAAACAATGAAAGTAATGATTGGGATATAGTGAAAGTAAGTGAGAGACACAGAGCTTTAGTGCTTGCTTTTGTCAGATAAGCTATGTAGAAGGAAGGCAAAAACAAGCTTTTAGGGAGTGTTGGTTGTGGTGAGGTTACTCTTGAAGCCAGTTCTTCAAGTTATAAGCTTCAGGAACTGAAAGTTCCAATAAATTTTCCTTGACATGAGGAGGCCCCAGCACACACAAATAATTGGAGTGATAAGGAAATTCAATTATGATTAATTACTGCCACAACCAAAGTGCACACGCACAAACACGCACAAAAAGACCACACAGGCCTATATAGGTAGTGAGTGATTATAGGGAGTACTACTCAGTGCACAAAGCTATATGTGTGCTAAAATAGTGGGAGTGGTCTATTTTGAATGGCACATGGCCTCACATGCTTGTTGCTTTTTCACAACTACCCGCAGAACCGAACTCTCTCCCATGTGCACTAGAAAACAAAGACACCAAAACCCCACTATAAATGCCCTCACATGATTCACCCTCTTTAAGTGGTACTCTTTCTCTTTGAACTTCCAGGGTCTCTCCTATTTACAATTTTTTCCTCCTCATTTCAAATCAACCAGCTCATCCTACTCTTACTCTTTTTTTCTCCACCCTTTATGTTTTCTTTTTCCCGTTTTTAGTTTTTAGTTTTCCATTGGATATATTTATGAATATAATATTAGTTGCCATGGATTATATCAATAGACTAACACCACCACATGTATGAAAGCTTTACCATTAATAGTGACGCAAATACAAGGTAAACCTAGCAACACCCCTTCAAAAGGTTTTGTATTTTATTTTTTCTCTCTCTACATTTATGCACAAAATGCATGTGATATATTCTTATAAGATGTATGTGACAGGTAGCTAGCTAGTCCCATAAATTGCACAAATTAAGAAAGTTGGGGATTTTGAAAGGATAAACAAAAATCCAAACCGAATCCGGCCCTACTTTAGTGGGATGATTACAACGCAACTATGATAAAACCATGGAGTTGTGTAAGCAAAGTCAAAAACTTGTCTTTATTGAGAAAAAAAGTGAAAACAAAAAGGCTCATCATCAGCTAGATTGATAGCTTAATCAAATCTTGACCTTCTGCTTGGTAACATAATCGCTACTCTTATGAGAGCCCCACCTGCTTATAATATATATATGGTCAGGACTCAAATGATTTACACTAATATAAGTTGGGATTTGCATTTGTAATTTAACATGACACAACAAACTTTTCTACACACACAACATTTTGTAGGGTTCACACTTTTTGAAGAAAAAAAAATAAAAGAAATTACGGCACGCAAAACGAATCTCTATAACATTACACAATCACTTTTCTTACAACATAACTCTTATAAAACCCATATAAGTTATACCTGTGATCTTAACCGTTTATTTCACTTTTATTTAACAACTATAATTTTTTAGTCATACGAATCATTAAATATAAGTGAATCAACCACCAAAATTGAGTGTAAGAATAAGACTTGCACTGGTATATAGCACACACAAGCACATGTGTACACACATGTACGCATACACACACATATTCTTGCGCTAATATACAAACACACAAGCACAAGCACACACAAAATTAGTGTTAATAATTAGCTCATCTCTTAAAAGTATTTGTAATAGTTAAGCCCTCCCATTTATCCGAATAACACTTATATATATATATATATATATATATATATATATATATATGGGACAACATTATACAACATGATTTGATATTAGTATGAAATAAAAAGTTTGACACATCATCTGAGAGTTGTTAATATTGCCTTGATATAATGACTCTGATTTGTAAGCATATAATACCATTGATCCGCCTTGATCAAACGAATTTCAGATGAGATGTCAAAATTTTTATTTGATTCCAGTATCAAAGGATTCTGTCCCTAAATAATCATGCAAAAAGATGATTCAACCAAAAAAAGGGCAATCTCTGGTGTACAAGAGTCAATAATTTGAGATAAAAAGGATAATAGTTAATTGTACGTAATCTTATTCTTATATTTGAAAAAAAGAAAAAGGAATGTATGAGATATTCGAACTCGTGATATTCCATAATTCAAGCAGAAAGGAAAAAAAATCAAAAATCACGAAGAAAGTTAGCTCGGAGTCCTTTTGTTTTCAGAGGATCCTGGACCTGGTAGTTTCCAAGTCTGAGGCAAAACTAAATGCCATCTACCCTTTGGACATTTGTGGGACAAGTATGCATGTGCAGAGAGACTCAGAATTCAGATTATTATAATGTACGCTTCTCATTCTCACAGTTAATAATTATTAATAGTGATTTTATTCTACCTGATGCAGAAACAAAAAGGCTAAGAGTTTATGTATATGAATAAAGTCAAATGTAATATTACATCTCATATATAGGGATGACATAAAAAACAGTGTAATTGTTAGGTAGGGCCTATTTCCATGTCAAAGTTCAAAAGCAAGACTGCAATTAGCCTTGTTAGGAAAAAAATCAGGTATTAACATTAACTGAATGTTGGAATAGTACTAGAGATCCGCATTGACGAGTCACACACAATTAATGGGTTAGTGAAAATTGTCAGGGCAGTTGATTGAATGGTCTATGATGTCTGTGTTTGTGAGGATGCAAGAATAGACAACACAAATACATGATGGTGCATATTAATAAAATTGTAGAGTTTTATAAGAGTTATGTTGTAGGAAAAGTGATTGTGTAATGTTATAGAGATTCGTTTTGCGTGTCGTAGTTTTTCTTTTTTTTTTCTTCAAAAAAATGAGGGCCCCACAAAATGTTGTATGCATAGAAAATTTTGTTGTGTCATGTTAAATGACAAATACAAATCCCAAAATTGTACGTACATTATCTGGCAAAAAAATATTAAGAACCCCAAAGAAAACACTAACAAAAAGACATAGAGGGAGAGGCTTGATCGTTTCCCCCTCATATAACATATAATTGAAATGAAAACAAAATTGTCAATGTTTCTCGAATGGGGTCTAAGTTTTGAGGGAATGTATCATCTCATTTATTTTTTTAACACGATTAACAGATCAATAATTATAACTTTAAAGACAAAGCTCGTAAAATGAAAAAGTAGAATGATCATTTTAATTGCTAACCATTGATATATTAAAAGATAACTGAAATTTAACATATGACATGATGATGTTAAAAAAGAAATATAATATACGTTGTATAAATAAATGGATTTACAAGATATGGTTGGACTTTGAGGGACAACACATGGGGAATTTACTCATGTAGTTGGGATTTGTACTTTAGCCTAATTTGGAGTATAGTTCAACAGTGACATCACGTGCAAACCCTAGAGGTTAACATCTTTAGTGGGAACAGTTCCAGCGAATTCTAGCTCAACTCAAACTCATGCATCCCTAATTAGCCCTCTATATACGATAGGCAGAGATTGCTCCACGGCATCCAAATTTGGATCACAAAGCTGTCTGTACGGACATAACCTTTTTCTGGGTGGAGGAGATTGAGAATGACAAGGCCATACTTTGTCACTAGCTGATGTGAGAGGCCAGAAAACTAGGAGGTAATATTGCTCTCTTCTCTTTGATCTGCTAATGTGACATCACATGCAACTGGATTGAGTGGCACATGTGCACCACTTACCACCTCTCTACTTGAATAACTCAGATTTCACAATTGTCATGGCTCCACTATCTTCAGCTAGTTAACTCAGATGATCAGATGATGATATATAACTGGCTTTACTTACAATGAGTATATATGATGGTTAATACACTTTGCTGGAGTTAAATTTTATTGTTTTCTATTATTAACAGGGAAAAGTTATATTTACAAACTTTTGTTTATAAACTTTTATAAATTACATTAAGTATGATCGATCATACTTCAATTAAGAATATATGATGGGTTATACTTAATGTAATTTGTAAAAAAAAATTATAAACGAATCATTCCTCATTATTAATAGGGTAAGACTAATTTTAAATGATATTAGACTGGGATGGTTAATTGACTCAATTAGAATATTGGGTCAATGAGTCAAATTGGTTGAATCAGTCGAAATAAATATATTTAATAATATATAATAAATATAAAATTAAGAACATCATAACTAACAAATAAAATTGTTCTAAGTTTGAAATCTCATGATTCAGGTTGCACTTCTCAAACATGTTACATAAATTTCCATAGATTTGGTTTGATTAAAATATCATTTCAAGTGCAGAACCGATTAAGTGTCAGGTAGTCATTCGGTTTCTAGGTGAACCGATCGGACCAGCCGATCCATTCCAGTTTTTGAGACTTTTTTATCAACCAAAACTTAGGAGTGTATTGCATTAGGATTTTTAAAAAAAAAATTAAATAATTTATTTTATAGATTTTAAAAGATTATTTAGAATTGGAGGGACTTTTAAGATTTTTTTTTTATAATCAAGATTTTATAAGATTGGATTTTAAAAGATTTTAATAGAATTTATAATATTTAAAAGGACAATATAAATTTATAAGATTTTAAAAAATCATATGAATTTTTAACAAACATTCAAAATTACAAGAGTCGATAAAAAAATAACAAAGAAATGCAATTATATTAATAAAAAAAGTAAAACTTAATATAATTTTCTCAATCAGTAAAACCTAATATAATTTTTAAGAAACATTCAAACTTACTAAGCAATAACTCTCCACATATCTAAAGCGAACCTTCAAATCTAAAGGGGAATGAGACGGTGGACAACATTGTGGGGTGATGGAGAATGATTAAGTGGTCCATAGTGATTTCGTGTTATGAAGGCATCGTTGATAGGATCATACACAAAGTCTTCCATCCTAGAATCCCTATTTTCTTCTCCAAAAG